CATTTTACTGGAGGAGAAACTGAAGCCAGAGGGCTCCAAAGCTAGGGATGAAAAGCCTTGGTACCTGGGTGAGGCTGAGCATCTCTCAGGCTCCCTGACCTCTGCAGCCTTGACAGGGTTAGGAGGGACTCTCAGGGGACCCCGTGCTAGGCCCTGTGGCCCTTATTCTGTGACAGCAACCGTCCTCAATGCCTTTCTAGAGATAAGGTATCCTCACGCTCCCAGCTCTGGGTTCTGTTCTACCTTTTTGAAAAAAATAAAGCAGCAACACCAAAAGTCCAAGCTAGTATTTAGATTATGTGGTTGTCATCGCAATGCTTGAATTTAGAGTCTCCTTCCAGGACTCAGAGCGTTTCTTCATGGAACCAGCACTTACTGAGCTCCTACTGTGTGCTGGCTGCTGCTGCTCTGCATGCTGGGGGCCCAGTGGGGAACAAGACACACAGATGGTCTCTGCTGCCAAGCTCATCTTAAAAAGGAGAGAGATGGACAACAAGCAAAGAAGTGAGCCCACAGGATGTCTGTAGATACTGCTAAATGCTATGGCGGAAATAAGAAAGGGTGCCCAGATGGGTGGGGGAGAAGGGGGGTGAGGGTGCCTTCCTTGGGGGTGGCTGGGGACGGTGGGGTGATGACTAAAAGCTGAGACTCAATGATGGGACAGACTGAGGGAGGAACATTCCAGGCAGAGGGAAGAGCTGAGAGGGACCAAGTTGGGTGTGATGTGAGCATAGCAAGGAGGCGCTGGGGTGGTGGGTGGCGGCGGAGAAGGGTTGAAGGGTCTGGCTGGATGCTTACAAGGTTACTTCTTAGGAACACTGACAGGTAGTTTATGCTGTCCTCACATCCACTTAACGGGATGATGTATGTGAGATAGGACTGGCTCTCTGTCACTTAAGGCCATCAAGAAGGAACTCGAGGTCCCGCACTGCCCCCCAAGTTGAGTCCCCGCTAAGTGAAAGCAGCCCCCCCTCAGCTCTTATCTGTGACATTAATGGTGGTGAGGCAGCCCAGGCCCTGGCCCTAATGAGATTCCACAGTGTGCGTCAGAGAGCTCTGCTCCCCCGCGCCTGAGTCACCAGCTCCCGGGAGAGGGACCTGCAGGCTGCCCAGTGTCTGCAGAGCGCGCGTCACTGGCTGAGACGCAGTTTCTCAGCCCAGCAACTCCACGGGGAGATTAAACACGTTCGCTCAGACAAAAAAAAAAAAAAAAGGAAAGAAATAACTTCTTTTGATAACCAGCATCTGTTAGTTAATGGACCTCTGAGAGCTGTATACAATTTAAACTTTTTATTAAAAATAAAAACAAAACAGCTCATTTCATCTCTCGGGGGCTTGTGCTGTGAAATTATCAACTGCACGGGTTTGTGTTTTTGTTTTGTTTTTTTCTTTTAAACGTGACTGAACATACAATGGAGAACATTAATTTGGTTTTGTTTTGTGTTGAATGAGAGCTGTGGGCCTCACTCTTCTGTCTTTTGATTAAAGCTATTTTGGGTTTTATGTGGAGACTGAGTAGTCGGATGACACAGGGGCCTCGTCCCCGTGACAGCGTCCGCCGCCTCTCGGCCCCGTGCTGAGCCCCCTCATTCCAGCCCAGAGTGTGGGCAGCTCTGACCTCGCTGCTCACAAAAACGGGGGCCACTATCACTCCTTCAGTCTTCTTGTTTTCCTTCCTTCCACTCCAAGTCCGATCGAGGGAAGGACAGACCGAGCAGCTGGGAGCCTGGGACCTTCTCTCTCCCTGAACACATACCTTCTGATAAGAGATGGTCTCATGCACATGAAGCAGTGCTAAACTGTTTCCCCAAACACAGTTATGAATCCCAGCCTGCCAGGAAGCCGGCCGGCGGGTGGACTTGGTGCAGGGCCGTGACCTGATCACTGATTCCGGTGTGAGGGCTAGTGGGCTCATGGGTGTCTGCCTAGTCAACAAGTGTTTATCGAAGCTCTATCATGTCTCGGTGATTGAGTCCCCAAACTTACGTTCTAGGGGAGCAGGCAGAAGATAAAGAAGGTCAATTCCTGACAGCAATTAAAAAAAAAACCTATTGCTATCGAGTCCATTCTGACTCATAGTGACCCCATAGGACAGAGTAGAGCTGCCCCACAGGGTTTCCTAGGCTGTAATCTCTACGGGAGCAGATCGCCAGGTCTTTCTCTTGCAGAGCCGCTGGTGGGTTCAAACCACTGACCTTTTGGTTAGCAGCCGAGCTTTTAACCATTGCACCACCAGGGCTCCTTGACAGTGATAAAGAAGCACTATAAAGAACAGAAAACGGCAATAGGATGGAGAGTGACAGGAAGCACAGGGGACTGCTCTTTTGGAATGATGAAGGTAGGCCTCCCTGAGAAGGTGACATTTGACCTGGGACTTGAATGAAGAGAAAGAGCCAAGCTTCTGAAGATTGGGGAACAGTGAGCTAGGCAGAGGCACCAGTAGGTGCAAAGGCCCTGAGACAGGAACCAGCCTGGCATGATCAAGAAAGAGAAAGAAGGCCAGTGCATCCAGGGCATGATGGGTGGGGCTGGAGAAGCAGGCAGTGGCCGGCCTGCGGGGTCTTGGCACCCATGATGGGCAAGGAGCGGGGACTTTACTCTTAGCACATAGAAACCCCTTGCGAGTCTGAAGGAGGGCTGGGCTGTGGTGTGAAGGGGCATGACAGGGGGAGCTGGAGTTGACCACCACTGATTTTATCCTCTTTCCCACAGTCTTCTGATGACGCTCCACTGCCTCAGAACCATCATCCCCTCTGCTGACTTTAATAACCTGCAGGAACATTTCGCAGGCTGTTTAATTTTATTAAAAGATTCAAATTTGATGATAAATGGTGGCGTGTTTCCCTTAAGCCTCAATACAAGACTTGCTCAGTCGTGGCCATATTCTCAACACCCACCCTCATCCCCACCAGGAACTCCCCTCACCCCAATTCAGTTTAAAATGGTAAATAATCCAATGACTTTTCGTACTTTGGCAAATATGCCAGGAACCAGGGCTTCAAACTGGTTCTTCCTGGTTCAGTCATGGCTGAGGAAATGACACCAGAACAGATGGAAATTTTTTAGACTTGGGTGAACCAGAACCAAAATGAGAAAAATTACAGGTCAAAGCCCTGCTAGAAATGTAATCTCCCTCTCAGAAAACAAGGGCAGCATACGTGTTGCATAGCAACAAAATCTCTTGCCCATCAGATTTTGGGCAGAGTTGGAAAAAGTGGTGCCCTTCTCCAAGATGGCGGCCGACCACACCTCTTTGAAAGTGTATTGCTCTCCTCAGTCCCGGCAATAATCCAATTTCACCCATCAGGCTTACTATGCCTCTTCAGAGTCTCCCATTCCAGAGCTTCGACTTGTAATTTTTCCCATCCCAGTTATTGTTCTGGATCACCGAAATTTTAAAAATTCGGGCCTGTTCTGGTTTCACTTCATTAGCCATGACTTGAAGCAGTTCGAAGCCCTGCCAGAAACACTCATAGCTATCTGAGACCTACAGAGAATATTAACTTGGTGGTTTTTTTTTCTTTTCTAACAAGAATGGGTAGATAAGTTAGGGCAATTTCAGGGGGCTGATTGAACCCTGCGCAATCTGGCAGAGGACAAGACTTCCCTTGGAAAGCGTCATCAGCCTTGGAGAGGAATGTCATTGAAGATCTGTGATAAGAGGCAGAGATCGGGATAGGGAGGGGGAGGGGCGAGTCATGACTCAGAGTCCCAAAAACCGTCGAGCCCACCAGGATGCTAGTGAATCCTGCAGTGTGCGGATGAGACTCTAGGGCACAGGCAGGGACCTGGAGAGGTGCAGCCTGTCCATCCCTGATGACAGCCCCTCTGTGCAGAGCAGGACTCCAACTCATCAGCATCGCAGTGAAGGGCCTAGTGAAGCCTGGTCTCCTGGCCCCTCCTCCCAGTGTTGCTGTGGAGCCTGGTGACCCTCACCTTTCCACAGAATGGGTCCCAAAGAAGCACTGGGAGGTGTCCCCCTCCCCGCCGGCCGAGCACAGGGAATCTTGAGAACGGAGGTTGTCTGTGCAGGCTAATTGCACAGCGTGTTAGCTTCACCGCTGTCATTAGTATTAATTACTTTCCAAAGGCTGGCAGCACAGCTTTTCTCCAAAGACTCGCCCCGGCAGCCAGCCCCGGCAGCCTGCCCCGGCACACAGGCACTCAGTGTGGGCGAGAGGCCCAGCACCCAGGGAGCCCTCTTCCTCCGAAGGCCTCCGGGAGGGCCGGATGCACAGGCTCACATGATGACAGCTGGGGGTCTGAGCCACAGAAGCACAGGAGACACCGACAAATGCCAGTAGTCAGATCAAGAAAGCCTAGTGGCCCCGAAGAGAGGGGCCTTTCAAAAAGTACGAAAAGCTTGAAGCAGCATCCTTAATTCATGGCGCCAGCTTGCGTTTGTGTCACTAAATTCAATTAAGAATCTTGAAACCACCTATAGACGCAGCGAAGCATTGTCCGTACACTCCGAGTCTCCGGGTGGCCTCTCACCCCATTCCACAGAATCCCAAGGGTGCGGGTGAGAAGAGGGGCCAGGAGGCTGTGGGGCCCGCTGGCCGGTGCTGGCCTGTGAGCTGCCCATGATGAGGAACACACGGGAGTCAGCGTTTAGGAACCTTCAGAGCACTCTGACCTTTGAGCCACACATAGAAGTGCGAGATCAGTAGACATGTGTCCCCGAGCTGAGTATACTTTCCAGGGGCTACTGAACTCACGAGCTGGGTTTACAAGCAGCAGGGCCGTACACCCCTCCATAACAGATTGGAAAGAAAAGGACGGGTCCTTCACACAGATAGTCTGAGAAGCTCCGTGTCCAGGAGGGAGTCCTGGATAGCTGAGCAGTTGTAAAGAGCTATAGCACAAAGATGTTCATTCTGGTGTTGTTTATAATAGGGAAATCTAGACACACTCATGTTTTGAGGTGTAGTCACAGCCCTTGGTTGTCCCAGGGCCAGAAGGGTGTCCCGAGAAGCCATTCTTGACATTGAAGACCAATTTCAAAGCCACCCAAGGAAGGCCAATCCTACAACAAGGAAGAGAAAGGGGAGAGGGGCTACAGGAGGACATGGACCCCTGCTACTGGGGGGTTTTCCCAGCAGAGGCCTATGCTGCAGGAGTCTGGGGAAGTCCTGGGCCATCTCATCACACAGGACCAGGGGGGCTTGGAAGGACGTGGGCCGCTTCTCGGGGGTGTCGGGGCTTGACCCATCGGTGGGCCGTTGTCCGATGAACAGCAGGCTTTGGCCGCGGGGGTCTTGCTCCATCTTGAAAAGCTCATACTCCACGTGGGGGAGCCTGATACCCAGTGGCATGCACCCATTGGTGGCCGTGATGTCCCGCTCGGTCCCCACGGACCAGGCTCCCGGTGCCCCGCAGCTGCCCGGCTTTGAGAAGTTGAGCATGGCTGCGGTGACCTCGTCCATGGGGGTCACGTGGGCCCGCGTGACCTCAAACACAAGCTCGGTGCCACCGAGGACCTTAGCAGATGGCGTGCCCTTGGTGTAGCGGCCAGCGGCGTACACGGTGAAGGTGGGCTGCCGGCAGGCGGGATCTGAGAAGTGGTGGTAGTGGCCCTCCCAGGAGCGGTTGTGCCGGTGGAAGGTGAAGAGTCTGGTGAGGAAGAGCACAGCGGGCCGTGCCTCGCAGCCAGAGCTGACCCAGCGGCCATGCAGGTGCAGGGCCAGGGCTGCCTGCAGAGGCAGGACAGGCGGGTGGTGCTCGTCGGCACGGGACACGCTGCCACAGGCCGGGCAGGGGTGAGCATGGTGCTGTCAAAAGACAAACAGAAAGGAGGTGGTTTTCCAAGGTGAAGAATCCCAGCTCTGTACCTGGCTGACAAGGTCCCGTGTGGCCGGCCCATCTCATTGCCAACCACTGTCCCCTTCCCTCCCTCCAGCTACACGAACCTCTTCGCTCCTCCCCTCCGCCAGGCCTTTGCACGTGCTTTATCTTCTCTACTTGGAATGCTCTCCCCCCCAGAATAGTGCATGGCTGGCTCCTTCTTATCCTTTAGGTCTCAGGTCGAAGAGAGGCCACAGAAAGCCCTTTCCTGACCACCCTATATAAAGTAGCCCTTGGGGCCCTTTCTTTCTTTTTTTAAAATAATTTATTTGATTTTTTGCTGTGGTTGTTGTTGAGAATATACACAGCAGAACATGCACAAATTGCACAATTAATTCAGTGACGCTGATTACATTTTGCAAGTGGTGCAGCCATTCTCACCCTCCTTTTCTGTGTTGTTCCTCCTCATTCACATAAACTCACTGCCCCCTAAGGTTCCTATCTAATCTTTTGAGTTGCTGTTTTCAATTTGATCCCGTATAGATAGATCTTAAAAGGGCACAATGCTCAAGGCAGACATTCTTTCTTTACTAGTTAAGTTAAACTCTTGTTTGGTTTTAAGAAGACTTCTGTCTTAGTCATGTAGTGCTGCTCTAACAGAAATACCACAAGTGGATGGCTTTAACAAAGAGAAATTTATTCTCTCACAGTCTCGTAGGCTACAAGTCCAAATTCAGTGCATCAGCTCCAGGGGAAGGCTTTCTCTGTCAGCTCTGGAGGAAGGTCCTTGTCATCAGTCTTCCCCTGGACTAGGGGCTTCTCCACACAGGAACCCCAGGTCCAAACGACAGGCTTTGCTCCTGGTGCTGCTTTCTTGGTGTTATGAGGTTCCCATGTGTCTCTGCTTGCTTCTCTCTTTTGTATCTTAAAAGAGATTGGCTTAAGACACTATCTAATCTTGAAGATTTCATTAATATGAAACCGAAAAAAACATTGCCATTGAGCCAATTCCAACTCATAGCAACTCTATAGGACAGAGTAGAACGGCCCCATAGGGTTTCCAAGGAGTGGCAGCCAAATGCTTAACCACTGTGCCACCAGGGCCCCTTTACCAATATAACTGCTGCTAATCCATCTTATTACATCATAGTGATAGGATTTACAACACATGGGGATATCACCTCAGATTACAAAATGGTAGACAATCATACAATACTGGGAATCATGACCTAGCCAAGTTGACAGATATTTTTGGGGAACCCAGTTCAATCCATGACAACTTCAAGGGTTATTTTTGGTTTAAGGTTTAAAGATGATCTCAGAGCAGTAGTTTTGTGGGTTCATCCAGCCTCCATGGTTCCAGAAAGTCTGGATTCCATGAGACTTTGGATTTCTGTTCTATATTTTCCTCTTTTGATCAGGATTCTTCTATATAATCTTTGATCGAAACATTCAGTAATGGTAGCCGGGCACCATGCAGTTCTTCTGGTCTCATGGCAAAGGGGAGAGAATGGAGGTTTTTTTTTTTTAAATGAAATCCAAAGCCATTTATTTTGGCCAATGTAGAAATTTAAGGGCTCTAAGGGGTCTTCCTAAATCTTATATCAAACATTAACAGAGAGTCTCATTCTTAATGGTAAACTGTTAAAAGCATGTTCATTAAAATAAGGAAAAAGAGAACCATACTGTCCCTTCTCACTTCAATGCAACTATGTCAGTTCAGTGGTTCACAATGGTCATGATACAATTTCCCTTCACCATCAACTTAGAAATCCCTATTGTGTCGCTCTGGTGTTTGATCTTTTGTCTTCCTCTTTCTTGGATTTTCCCTTCATTTCTGAAGGCCAGAGTCCGTCATCAAGGTGTTGGCAGGGTTAGTTCCCTTTGGAGGCTGTAACAGAGAATCCATTCCTTGACTCTCCCCTAGCTTCTGGTAGCAGTGTTGTTATTAGGTGCTGTCAAGTTGGTTTTGACTCATAGTGACCCTACGTACAACAGAACGAAACACTGCCCAGTTCTGCACCATTCTCACAATTGTTGCTATGCTTTAGCCCATTGTTGCAACCACGGTGTCAATCCATCTCCTTGAGGGTCTTCCTTTTCTTCTCTGACCCTCTACTTTACCAAGCATGATGTCCTTCTTCAGGGACTGGTCCCTTCTGATAACATGTCCAAAGTATGTGAGATGAAGTCCCGCCATCCTCACTTCTAAGGAGCATTCTGACTGTACTTCTTCCAGGACAGATTTGTTTGTTCTTCTGGCAGTCCATGGTATATTCAGTATTCTTCATGGTATATTTATAATTCATCATTCAAAAGTGTCAATTCTTCTTTGATCTTCCTTATTCATTGTCCAGCTTTCAATGCATATGAGGTGATTGATAATACCATGGCTTAGCTCCGGCACACCTTAGTCCTCAAAGTGACATCTTTGCTTTTTAACACTTTAAAAAAGGTCTTTTGCAGCAGATTTGCGCAATGCAATGTGTCATTTGATTTCTTGACTGCTACTTCCATGGGCGTTGATAGTGGATCCAAGTAAAATGAAATCCTTGACAACTTCCATCTTTTCTCTGTTTA